GTTAAAAGAGGTAGACCGGCGTATAAGAATTATCTATCTATCTAATAAATAGTATTTATATAATATTCTCTATAAGTAGCTATAAAGAAGTTAATAGATCTATAGACTTTATAATTAGAAAGTCGTCCCTTTTCTAATAACTAGTATAGTATAATTTAGGCTATAGATACCTAGCTAAGTAGTATTTATCGTTAGCTAGATCTTATAGAGACGCTATCCGATAGCTCTAGTATTATATTTAACGCGCTATACTTCCTACGACCGCCTATTAACTAGAGTATAGAGCAGTTCAAATCGTAGACTATCGATCTATCTAGTATTAGTCGACTAAGCAACTTGTTCTTATAGAATAATATCGTCTACCTACTATAGCGCGCCTTTCGGCTATACTCGAATCTATTCCCTGCCTCGTTCTTAAGTATTACGCGAGCCTATAAGCCACGCAGCACGCACCTGCAGACCCGCTCGCCTCGAAAACTACGAATGGAATTTCGTTGTCCTCTTCGAGCACACACGCCACACTAGACTCGTCAGGAGGGCAGGCTGATGCGCCAAACCCTCAATCGACCAAGCAGCAGACTGACTGCTTCACGTATACTCATCACGTCGCAAAGCCACACCAGCTCGGCCACGTTCACTTCTGCATGAAGGCCATGGTTCCCGAAACGCGGTGCCAATCCATGAGGAAGAAGTGCACAACACCAGAGACTTCTTCCTCGTGTTGAGAACTGCATACATCTGAGGTCGGCGGTAGCTGCAGGCGATGGTCTGTGGTTGGCGCTACGATCATTGCAAGTTCTCCCAGGGGAAGAGGAAACTGCAATTCTGGTCTGCGAGTAAGTTTCGACCGACTCACTCTCTCCAACTCGAGTTCGCTGTGTACAGATAGAATGGCATTGGCGCCGTCGAACCAGGTTTTCCTCAGGGTGTCAAACATCGATTACCACTTTGGTCCGAGAATGAGGACACCATCTTCTCTAGGAGGAACGCCTGGCGAGCACACTGGGGTCATATCGTTTTCAAGGATACTCTTCGCTCTCCTGCGGTTTGAGCGTTTCGAGGCGACCTTCGCAAGTATAAGGCATGGAACTATCGGTAGCGCAACACATAGTAATAGAGTTCTGTGTGCCGTCGTCCATTCCCTATGTTGAACTCAAGCAACGATCATGTCGTAAATTCCAGCTTCCCATGATACTGTCTTCAAAACACAGCACGCTTGTCCTCTCCAACCCTGTACAGCACTCGCTGAGCTGCTGAAACACCAGATGCAAACCCAATTCTTAGACAGACGGCCCGTTCGTATCTACTAATCCCATGTCACGCAGATGATGCTCCTCATGGGCAACATAACTATCGTCGTGCCAGTCGTAACCATCCCGAGCATTGTCAGACTCCCATAGTCTGTCCGCTGCGTTCGGACCAAAGGCCCAGAAGTAACGATCGCCATTCTCGAACGGACCGCTCATATGCTCGCTTCGCCTGACCATGTTCCTCTCCCGCAGGAGGCGAACTGATACATGAACTCTTTCAGTATCTCGTTGCCCAGGCTGACGTTTCTTCGAGCCCAACGGCTTCCACATCCAAGTGCGTGAATTGGTTACAGCTGCAGTCACGGAATTTGCTCGGATCATTTGGCTCAACTTCCCGTTATCGAATAGAATGTCCAACTCTGGGTCATCTTCCATCATTGAGATCATCCATACAAGTGCGAGGTTGGACAGGAACCTGTTATCTCCTCCTCCAACGTCGCTGTGAGAACCACGGAACCAGTATTGCCTGACCTTTTGGCGCGCGGCCACACCCGGCATGGGATCCTCCCAGAGATTGACGGGAAAGAGTGAACGGTCTTCGTCGAGTGCCATTGCGTGATAAGCTTTAAGCACATTTCCAAGGCGCTTTCTGGCGAATCCGAGCTTTTTGTTCGGATTTCGATCTACGGGGTTGGGTACACCCATAGTCCCGACGGTGTCGAAAACGGCACATGTATGGATCCACCTTGGACCTGTAAGACACTGGCTATACTGTGCTCGTAGCGCGGACACATCATTGTCTGCGCTTCTGTCGTTCTCTTTCTCGCGGCTAGAGATCCATTGTTCGAAGATCATCTCTATATACTCCATATAACGCATATGCAGGAAACCAAGGTCGCTGATCAGAAGCGCAAGCACACGAGCAGCATGTGCACCTCTGGAGAAACCTGCTAGGATGATCTTGTCTCTGTCATTCAATTCATGATCACACAGCCAGCGATAGGCGTCTTTGATGGTATTTTTGATGCCTTCATTCAATCAGTGAACTATAGCCCGTGCAGCAAAATTTAATGCTGACATACCGGCTCCAAGCATAGCCTCCTTGTTGTCCTCGCGGTCGGCACCACCAGTGCCAACGCCTGGAAGATAAAGCTTGTGGACCGGAACACCATCCTCCGTATTTCTCTTCACTAGTTGATGAAGCCATTGTATATTGGTAGCAGAGGATAGGGCGCGACCAGACCTGTCCCTGTGGTCGAGTGTGCCATCCAAGCTAACGAAATAGTATCTGGGCCGCATGGCGGACATGATCGCGACGTTGCAAGTAAGAGCAAAATGGAAGCTGGGTCGAAGAGACTTATGAGCTGTGGGTAAGAGTTTCCAGCGAGTCTACGCGAGACCAGCTTGACCCAATCCTGCTCTCCGAGCTGTGAGCCACGCAGGATTCAGGCAACTTGATGTTCAGTGCAGGGATGCAAGGTGCTTTGCCCAATGCGAGCACACCACGTCTTGCGAGGCTGATCTTGGAGGAAGCATTTGCATGCTCCTCTTGTATATCTGCATGCTACGCAAATTGACATGCACGCTGCATGAACAGGTGTTCGCTGGGATAACAGAGCGATAGGACTGGGCTTGAGCAACATGATTTCCGCTTTGTTATACAATGACTGTGGAACTTCCGAAGCCTCTACGAGTGCATGTCCTGTACGTGTGGTGCCAACGTCTAGTTCGATGGGTTGTAGCTAGAAGCAGCAATGACCCATTCGACTCTAACCTGAGAGCCACCCGATGGAGTGTTGCAGTCAACCTCACCCTCCGCAGACACGACCTGGCCGAACTGACCCTTGCAAGAGACTTGGCCGCTCTGCTGGAAGTTGTTGACAGAGTCGTTCACCAGGTCGGCCAAGTCGGCACCACCAACCAATCCGTCCTTAGAACCAGCGATGACACGAACGCTGAAAGCACCTGCAATGTTTCGTTAGCTACTACTCACGTTCAACAGATGAGATCGCAATGCTTACATGTTCCCTGTGTTGACAGACGAGCCCAGCTCTTTGACACCGACCACGTCTGGCTCGTGTCAAGGCCCGCAACGAGATCCGTGCAATCTTTAGCGTTTGCTTGTGGAATGTCGAGGTCTGCTCCGTTGTTGAAGGTCGACGCATCGCACATGTTGGATCCGGCAGAGTTGCCAGCGTTTTGTGGGAGAGCAATAGCTGATGCAGAGGCGGCGCAAAGCGCAACTGCGGCGGTAGCGACTTTGAAAAGCATTTTGATGGATGTCTGGGTTCTTGCTGTTGGTACTGGAACGAAGGTCTTTGTCGAAGCTGGCAATGTGTCTTGTTGAAGTGAAAGTTCTGAAGTGGAAGGATGGGCAGTACTTGACTTGCTTTATATCTCCAAGGCGAGACATGGGCTCGATGTCACTATATTTACTGAGACATTCGTATGTGTCGTGCAAGGGGTCGTCATGGTTGAAACCGCACTCCTGGTTTTCTGAAAAGTCTCTGCCGGCAGTTAGGGGTGGCTGTGCAAAAGCCGAAATGACTGCTTTCGCGTGCCCATGCTATAGTGCTCACCGGTGTAGAGGGATCGCACACTCGCATTGGACTTCAAGATACCATGTTGTTGGTGTAAACTTCGTGATCAGATCAAGATTGACCTGCAGCGAGACCTGCCCAGCGTGGTCACAGTGTTGCAATAGCCGATGATTGCATTGATGCAACCAAAACTGGTGTCGGAAGCGACTTGCTGCGAAGCATAAGAGCGGCTTCTATCGGAATGACCAGCATCATTTCTCAGATAAGTCTGTAGTCGTAGTCTTGGAACATGGAAATAGTCAGCACTAAGCACAGCCCGTAGATTTACCAGCCACACTAAAGCTGGTAGTGGAAGCTTAAAAGTAGAGAGCTGCGCAACAGCCAAATAAGGTGTACTAGGGGTGACCTGGAAGCCGGGTATCACGGTCTGGATTCTGCTAGTGTAGCGATACAGTGAGTCCCAGTCGTGCGGTTGTGACATAGCTGCGCCTTAAAACCTAGCACTTGAGGCGGTAGTAGGCGGAGGCAGCTGAGGGCAGTGAACGTCGTGTCAATTGAACAGATTGATCTAGAACTTTCGATGCGCATTCTTTTGGGAGGGTGTCTTGACCTCTGGATTTATACTCCCGCATACTTGTTGCGATTGAAGACGACTTGCCCTGTCTTGTCAACAATCGCTTGTGTTTCGTCGCAAGACTCGACGACAGACCAGACAATAGCCACGCGGCAAGAACGTGGTAAGCAGGGAAGTACTTCGTACTTCACGATCGCAGGTAAGGCGTAGGTCCTGTTATTTCGGGCTGCGCGGCGGCAAGTTTCGTCCAGCTTCTCCACAGCTAAAGGCTAGGGCGAGCTGCGTCTTGGTAGACCTCGCATACGCGTCCTTCCCAAGAGACTAATCCTTCCAGTGCAGACGATTCGAATCTGACATCTGTAGTGCTGAAGTCAACATCCGTACTGCGCAGCATTCAATCAGCCAGTTCTTCGTCGTTGCGCTCGACAACAACATGCAGAGCCGTTGCGACGTTCTGTCCAGCCTTCCAGTTCAGCACCTGTGACTGGTGCTCGATCAGTCGCTCCACCTGGGCCTTCTCATCGAGATCTCTCAAAGAGACAACGTCGGGAGCCGCACCATGCTCAATCAGCCATCGTACCGCATCCGGCTGTTCGAAAAGCACAGCCATTTCGATCGCAGTCAGCCCATCCCCGGTTCTGCTTTCAATGTCCTTCTCGACGACCGTTGCCTCAGCGTTCATTGAGTCAAGCTGGCCAATGTTTACGAGCATTGCTGCTTTAAGAAACACATTCTGCTCTCAACTTGGCTTCGTCGCGCGCTTGCAAGTCGCTGGCCGGTGCCAACTCCTTGCGTCGCCGATGCTCTCAAACCCTTCCCAGAAAAGGAGCTTCCGGGCTTGAGGCGTCGAATTCAGATAGAGGTCTCTTACATTCCAATCCTGAACCAATTCTGCGGCTCATTTCGTGACGGCTGTGCCAACACCTTCTCGGCGATGGCTAGCGTCTCCACTCCCATATCAAAGAGGCTTCCAATCCAGTGGGCCCCGCGGGTGAGATCGAAGACGCAGCCTCCAATCAATTTTGTACCCCGAAATGACTCGATGGGATGAGTCTGTCGCTTCTGCCTGCTGAAGTCAGCTTTGGGGCGACCGTCACATCAGCCTTAGTAGCAACGGAAGTCACGCGAACATTTGTACCCGGCTCCTGGAGATCGCGCCATATCCAATGAGGTCTTCAGTCTGGACTCGATCTGCGTCTTCTGATGGTTTTGACGGTTCTCTTGGCTTTGCAAGTTTGCTAGGTTAACTAGGTATTCTCGGTTTTCCAGGTTAACCAGGTTTTGACGGATAACCTGGTTAACTAGGTTTTCTCGGTTCCCTCGGTTTTCATGGTTTTCCTGGTTAACTAGGTTTTGTCGGTTTTCTCGGTTTTGTCGGTTTTCTCGGTTTTGTCGGTTTTCCCGGTTTTGATGGTTTTCTCGGTTTTGATTGTGTTCTCGGTTTTGATAGTTTTCTCGGTTTTGATAGTTTTCTCGGTTGTGATAGTTTTCTCGGTTTTAATGGTTTTCTCGGTTTTGATGGTTTTGACGGATAACCTGGTTAACCAGGTTTTGTCGGTTTTCTCGGTTTTGTCGGTTTTCCAGGTTAACTAGGTTTTCTCGGTTTTCTCGGTTTTGTCGGTTCTCATCTTTGTGTGAGCGTCTACAACGAGAAGGTCGCTACTCCCTACTTGCTGACTGCTCAAATGCGACATCAGTACTGCTCCCCGTGCCCGAGACAACGAGGCCAAAAGATGGGGTCGTAGCAACTCTGTACTACGAGCCGCATACTTCGATGTGGCGAACATCTTTGCAAAGCATTTCATGCTTGGATCGGTGCCTGGTCCTCAAGCAGAGGCCAGCCTTTCATACCACGCGTTCGCGCCAAGTCGCATGGCTCTCCATTGCTGTTTTCCGTTCATCTAACCCAGAGCAGGAGTCAGTGCAGCTATTCGGCCTGCATTATAAGCGGCCTCGAAATAACAGTCGAGCGAACGCCCTTCTTGAAGCCGGCTCAAGTGGTATAATCGCATTGGCAACGCTTGTTGGTACTTTGTCTTATTATGGGTCATCCACACGGGCTGGGCTGTAATGCTGCCCTTCTGCGTCTCGCCCGAAGACGCTCCGGTAGCATTTCGATACGGAGAAAGACACGCTGTCGCTCGCCGTTGACATGATGATGATGCTCGACGACGAATGCTGGAACTGGACGTGGTGTTGTCCTTCGTCTTGGCAGGAAGCGCGGACCTTTTCCCGAGCCGAAGTGACACAACATCGTCCTCTGCACTTCATTGTCCCAGCAAACTGCCCATTGTCTAATCCCGCGTCCCGCCAGCACTACACCAGCCAGAATTGAGCACTATGAATGCTTTCATGCCCCCATTGGCGAAATGGTCACGCCGGCGACAAGACTACTGCGCGCTGCTGCACGAGCTATGAGCTGTCAGCGGTGGGGACTTCGGCAGTCTGCGCAGATGCAGCACCTGGCTAACCTTGGGACCGCATATGTAAGACCGGCCACTGCGCCGCGGTAGACGTATTTGCAATGCCCAGGTATAGTATGGGGCGGTGAGTATTGCACTTTTCATTCCCTTCGTTCTCAAATTTACATGCAGGAGCGAACTATTCCGGCGAAGCAGAGAACGGCGAGCACTTCAGCTGCTCGAAACCAGGCCACAGTACAGTCCGAGGCCTTAAAGTCACACAGTGAACGCATCTTTCCTGGTACCTGCAGAAACGAGGAGAAAGGAGAGTCACAATGTCGACAATGGATGAGAGCTTCGTAGACGTGGAGAGACCGTAAGCCATACCTTTCGCACCAGTTCCGATCAAAAGCCTCACATCCTGCAGAGCCGACACGCACGAACCTCAAAAAGACACCTCCTCCATCTCAAGCTACGAATGGACCTACCTCAACGGCCGCCGCTACGCCTCCAGCTCCCTCGGCCATTACTACATGCCCAACGACGAGCCCGAAATCCAACGCCTCAACGAACAACACTGCATCTCGACCCAAGTCAAAGGAGACAAACTCCACTTCGCTCCTCTACCCTCACCAAACCATCGACCTCTCCGAATCCTCGACATAGGCTGCGGCAGCGGAATCTGGTGCCTCGAAATGGCAGACAAATATCCACACGCAAAAATCACAGGCATGGATGTCAGTCCCATTCAACCTTCAAAGAACAAGCCCGACAATGTAGGATGGATTGTACAAGATATGGAGGGCGACTGGCCATTTCCATCACAGCAAGAGGATGGATCAGAAGGATACTTCGATTTGATACATTTGAGTCTCGTACACGGCTGTGTAGCAGACTGGGACAAATTCATGCAGAAGGTCGTGAAGCATCTCGTGCCGGGAGGATGGGTGGAACATCAAGAGTTCTCGCTTTGCAGACAATACATGCTAGACGCGCAAGGGCAAAAGATCGACATGGGAGAAGATGTGGACAAGTTCCTACCATTCTTCCGATGGAACCGGCTAATGGAGCAGGCAGCGGCGAAGAGAGGGAGACAATTGCAGTTGGGACCACATTTGAAAGACTTCCAAGAAAGAGCAGGGCTGTTGCGAGTGGAGGAGAGGGTGTTCGCGCACAAATGGGGAACCTGGATGGACGATCCGCAAGAGCGAGAGCTGGGAGAGAGGACAATGCTGAGTACGATGACTGGAATGGAAGGCTTCACGACTGCGATGTTTACCAAGTCCCTCGGCTGGAGCTTGGAAGATACAAAGGCTTTTATTGTGGATATCAAGCAGAACATGCGGGACGACTCGATTCGGAAAGTCATCGATTTGCATGTTGTGTGTGGGCAGAAGCCTAGTCTACCCGAGAAGTCGAGTATTGTTGAGGACCGGAGTGGGAAGACATCGCCGTTACTCTCAATCGGAACTGGCGTCCTGGTCGTGGCAGGTGCGGCGTCTTTGTTCTCGTTGTGGTTGGCCCGAAGGCGATAGAACCCACACCCGCTGTGCCCAGCACTCCGTCCGCCTCGCTGCGATCATAGAAGCTTCACTCCACCAAAGTTCACTGCCAGGCGGCAGTGGAATCGCTAGTGTTGCATACCGCATTGATCTACCAAATGATGATCGAATCCAGGATCGCAGCTTTGCGGAGCGGCGTCAACTTCTTCTCGCCCTGCATCACTTCCTTCATCAAAGATACCAGGCGTCGAGAGCGGCCGTAGTAGGCAAATTCAAGGTTACCGGGCAACTTTGGCAACTCGAATAGCTCGAACAACAATGCGCCAACCTCGTCCCCTTGGTTGGATGGAGAATCTTGTGGCAAGACGTCATCTCCGTTCGCACCACCGTGGGTGCTCATTGATGGCCCCTGGACCATGGCGGGCTGTGCAAGGTAGCTTTCAACTCCGTCGGTACTGTCTTGAACGCCCGCCAGTGAACGCCACGGGTTTCGAAACTGGGGTTGCTCCTTGCGCAGCACCTCGGTCCAGGAAGCCTCCTCGCGCTTGCGCTCCTCCAACGCAGCTCTGACTGTCGCAAGGGCGTGTCCGTGGAGTCTCGCGCCATTGCGCATGTCGGTAATGTATTCATCCACATCCTCGTTCGCTTTCGCTGACAGGTAATGGCTCGTTTCAAGCTGGGACAGCATACCGACAAGCTTGAATTTAGACGGCGATCTGCAGCCCACGCAACCAAGACTTTCGCCTCGCTCATGACAGCGCGTGCCTTCAAAAGCACCAGCAGCTATCTTCTGGAATAGTGCCGAGCTGCACTGCTCTCCCGAGACGCCAAATAGCTCATGCGTGATGTGCCGCCCAAGAATGTATTCCAGTTTGCCGACCCTTATCTGGCCGAATTGGGAATGATGCAATCCTTCGCGCAACATGTGGAGAGCATGTAGCCCTGCGGCGGCCGACATGACTGCTGAGCATCGATTCTCCTCCGAGACCTCTTGACTCAGCTGCCATCGCTCAATCCAGTGCGCTGCAAAATCCTCCAGCTGGAGAACATGCAGCTCGCAGTGGCTCTGACAAATGCCATGAGATTTCGTGTAAGCGACCAGAGCGTTTAGAAAACCGCAGGGGTTCCCATCTTCATCCACCGCGTCAACATCGTACTCGATATGGCTCTTGATGAACTCGTCGAACTTCTTGCGCGCTTGGGCGATACTCGGCGCAGCGCAGATGACCTGATTCGCAGGATTGTCGATGAGATCTCTCATGTAACGGTTCACGCGTCGGCACCTCTGGATGTCCTTGACTGAGAGATATGAGAGAACGGCGAGCTGGAGCTCTGGGGCTAGCATATTGATGAAGTACTCCTTGAATTTGACTTGCTTCGCTGGAGGCTTGCCTGCAGATAGCTAATTGTCAGCGCGAGACTCGAAGTGCCCAATTGGAAGCGGCGGTTGCGCTCGATTGACTCACCAGGCTCCTGGCGTGCTGCCTTGCGCTTGCGGCGCTTCTCGCTGTTTGTCATGTTGTGGGAGTTTCGCGCGCGGGATGGAAAGGCAATGGGAGGAATTCGCTGCTGCTGCTTCGACCAGGTGTGCGGGAAGCGAGATCGCCGGGTTGGTGATGCAATGTATTGCAGAAGGAGGCGTGGTGACAGCGAGGAGATGGGGAGCTGGCGATGTTGAAGACAAGCCAGCAGTGAAAGACGAGCTGAACAAGAGTGAATGGCGCGCGAAAAGTGGGTCCGCCCTTCACGCGCTTGTCGAAGCCGCGCTTCACTGCACTTCTGCCATATACTAACCGCCAGACAGCTTCTCTTCCCTCCACCTCATGGACTCGCAAGACGTGCGCCTCCAAGGACCACGGCGCGTCAACACAAAGCAGCGCCCGTGACACCGCCGCGACGATGGGTTCCAACAGCTCGCGCATCGAACAAGACCACAACATCGAAGAAATCCATTCGTCACGACCCTCCAGCCCAATCATCCACCACTCCGACGACTCTGACCTCGCGCGCATCCCACAACTACTTCTCAACAATGCCGTGAACACACCCGACGCTCCCGACCATCCCACCACGCTGCTCGACCTCCCTCCGGAAATTCAGCTTCGAGTCCTGTTTATGTTGCCAGCGCGAGATATTCAGAAGTGTCGCCGCATCAGTAGCCACTTTCACGAGCTCATCGACGCGATCGAGAACCACAGCCTTTTCCTGAAGCCGGGCATCAACTACGCGCTCCAGCGTCTGAATGACTCAATCGCCGCCTTCTGCGATTATCCCACGCATGAGCTCGCCAAGGACGGCACTCCGACATCATTCCTTCGCGCATTAGGGTTCTTCTTCGACAATGCGCTTCACAACGATGACTTCCACGAAGATTGGGACGACGAGGATATAGAAAAATACAATTGGTTTGGCAAGATGTTCTGGGACCATTGGCACGCCAGCGCAAACCCGCAAGACATTCCGCTTTTGGGCGAAGAGTTGGAAACACTGTGGCCCATCACATTGCATTTCTACGCAGCTGCGTCATACGAGTCCGACCCGTGGGCTCCCAAGGAGAACTGGACGTATGACCACACAAAAGTTCTTCTCTATCATATGGACACTGCACACTATTTGTTCGGCGCCACAACAGCTGAGCAGATTCTGAAAATGTTCGGTGCTGCGGAGAAGAACGAGTTGGAGGGTCGTCCCATTTGTCATTTTGCTCCTCAGCCACCGAAGTACAGGTTGGTCAGGGTTCCGACTGCTGGGAAGTACGAGGATGATGGAAAATATTCTCAGAGGCGTCAAGCTATGGTCAGCAAGTTGGTACACTTGCTCCATGTCCCGTCGTTGCCACACACTGCACCCGTCACCTACTGCACGAAGTCACGTTGGGCCTGGATTTTGATCAAGCTGGCTCTTGAGGATGGAGAAGTACTCAGTCCGATCAAGCGTGCAGCTCTGCTGGAAGAGTTGATCATTGGATAGGGCTGAAGGATGCAGGTACTTCAATGGTGCGGAACTCCCGGCGGCAGTCCTTTCGAGTTGAACATGAATGTGCAAGAGAAAGTTGCGTTGAGCTGGGCAGGAGGCTGGACAATGCTTTTGGGAGCAGTGGGGCTAACTCAGCGCGAGCGACTGATATTGGAATTGGATCGGCGAAACCGATGCTCTGGAGTTACAGAGACTGTGCAGCCGAAGAATTGATTTCGCGCAGAAGGCAGAAAGACGGGCGCTTTGCTTGTACAGAAAGCTACGATACCTTGAATACCGACGCTTCCGAAACTGCGTTCCTCTCAAATCGGCTCCCAGCACTCGCCCTCTGCCCTTCCCTGGCCCAATTCTCGTCGTCAAGACCTCACTCAACGTACAAATTGCCTACCGCCGGCTCAGCATAAATCGCCGGAACCCCTCTTCCTCCATAGCACGTCTTGCATGCATCCTGCCAACCCTGGTCACCATCGATATCCACATACGTCACTTGATTGGTAATAGAGCCTTTGCCGCAGCGTCTGGTTTCGTCGTCGTAATTCTTACAAGGAAACAGGTGATGGTCCGGCGTAGGGAGTGGTTCTTCGTCCTCGCGCTCGCGAACGCCTTTGATCACTTTCTGACATCGATCACAGCGGAATTGGGTCTGAATGGTTTTGCACATGATGAGGCAAGTGGTTTCTCGTTGTAGAATGCCTTTGGCTCGGACTGTGCAGTGAGTCGTCGAAGTTTGACCAACTGGGCAAGTGTCTGTATGAACTTTTGCAGAGCTGAGGGTGCTGGTTGACTCTATATGCCAGTGGTCCGAAGCGAGCATAGATGCAAATTGGCTGCAATGCTGCATTTCTCACCTTGCCACCCACGACGTACCTGCGATCAGCTGCAAGCCACCACGCCTCTCTGGAAGTATGCGCTCGCTGCTTCGAATCGACGTTTCCAGGGATCTGTGTCGCATTGGTCCTTGGATCAATAAGATCCATGTCTGACAAGATGCATATAGTCTATATACTCACTGGTGTGATGTACGCTGGACGGCTCGGAAGGAAGCCTGAGGTTCTCTCGGAGCTGTGTGCGAACTGCTGTCGTCTCGCAAAAGTGTAACGCAACTCGGCCTTATCTCTGTTCCGAAGCACTACGTCCGGTCTTCCTCTTTCCCAGACAAGACACCTGCAAATAGACATTACAAAGGGCTAAAGGGGTCTTGCGAGGCCATCCTTCCTCGGCATATACTGGAGCAGGCGCGAAGCCCCATTGGGGAACAACATCTCACAGAACGCTAGGGCAGGAAGCGCGAAATTCTGTTCGAGAACAAGCCCTCACACTATACTCGGGCCCGAATCTGACCTCTTTGCTGATTTCTGCAAGGCGAACACCCATGCCACGTTCGAGACCGCTCTTCTGGAATGTCGTCAAATCGCTGATGATATTCTTGGTGCAGCTCTATGCTGATCACTAATGCATCACGATGTGTTGGTAAGCGCTGGGCTGCTATGAGCGCTTTGCGTGCGTAACTTTTATGGCACCCTGCGCTGCACGCACGACAGTGTGAGCCGGGAAGAGCCGTATTTGAACTGTAGTTCTCCGCTAATTGTTGGTTCAAGCTGTTTCGCTTCAACTTTCGCAAAATGCTTCCGGCCATCTTTTCGGCCTTTGAAATGTTGGCTGTCGCCAATGCTGGACGACCAGGCTACCTTGGACCTCAGGAGACCACTCGTCATCTTTCCAGCTTTCCGCCTAGAGCGCATGAGATCTTTTGGTTGTATCGCGGTTGTTTCACCATCTTCTGTGGAAACGCATTCTGGAACATAGTTTGACAAGGGTGTACATAGGGTTTCGTATACACCGTAAGACGACTATATCTGGACTGACAGCAACAGCTCGTCCAACAGATCACAGACTACCGTGTGGAAGAGGGACTGCACACGTCTACACAAGCTCGAACTCAAGCTCATATTTAGCAGTAGCGAGGTGAAGCTTAAGTATACCACCGCCCGATGGGAGCCGCAAGACGGTAAGCCATGAGGACTATATGAGAGCGTTCTTGGGCCACGAGAAGGGACGATAGACCGGCAGAACAACGCACTACACTCCGACACACGAGCCATTCTATCACCGAAATCAAGATGTTGTACTCCGTAGCGACAGCTTTTGTTATATTCGCGAGCTTGTCTGCAGCATCACCAGCTCTACGACAAGACTTGCCATCGGTCAACGAGGCTGGGAACCATATTGCAGCAAGAAACGACGATTCCAGGCTCTCTACAGACGCCGCAAGCGATACACTCAACACGAATGCCGCCTGCGATGACTTCGGCAAGATTCAAGCTGCAGGCTATACTCTCGAAAACAACATTTGGGGTCGGAGGAAAGGTGTAACCTTGGTCGGGAGTCAATGTGTCAACGTTAATAGTATCAAGGGCAATCAGGTCGCATGGACCGCCGAGTAAGTGTTTATTATGATGACCCGGAGCTCTATCAGTCGCTAATTGATTGCAAAGCTTCGCATGGGACAGAGGGGACGGAGGCGTGAAATCATTCCCGAATCTGCAACTCAATCGAAACCCCATACAACTGGGAAAAATAACGAACATGCGTACGACCTTCAACTGGGACCTTTACTGCAATCCGAAGTCAGATATCGGAGCTAGCATCGTCTATGACCTTTTCGCCGGTAAGTCCCAACATCGCAATCGTTAGTACAAAACCATTTGCTAACAACTGAAAAGGCCCTCAGCCCGATGTGAACAAGAAAACAAACGAGATCATGGTCTGGACCGGCGCTCAAGGCGGAAACGGTCCGCTCTCATACAGTTACAACCCGTACGTGGCTATCCGACAGAACATCGAAGTTCCCGGCGTCAGAGGTCGTTGGGACCTGTACAAAGGTCCAAACAGTGGCACAGTCGTGCACTCATTCGTTGCAACGAATGGTAGGGGCACCGGCAAGCAGAACTGGGTTGAACGAAAGCAGTGGACCGGCAATCTGGTCAATTTCATCAAGTACCTGATCCAACAGAAGGAGATTCGGGCAGACTACTGGCTGGTCCAGAGTCAAGCTGGGACTGAGTTGACATACGGCGGTAAGAATCCAGCTCAGAGTCGCAGCTGCAAGTTTGCGGTCAGTCAATTTGATCTCGAGGTTTCTTGAGCAGTGCATGTGTTCACGTGAAGAAGTGGCAGTAAGCTTCCACAAAGGGTTCGTAACGCTCACCTATAGACTAGATTTTCTGTCATAGCAAGAATCGTATGCCGTCATTCAACTTTATTCCGGCCGCGAAATAAAAGATGGAAGGCGTTTTTTGTGAAAGTGACTGTATGCGGAAGTAGCGTTCTTCGAAGGGATGCAAGGGAAAACGCAGATCCGCTCCACAGTTCGCTTCGAATGCGAGGGGGTATACCAAGCGCTTTCCCATCTGCACTGTACAGTATGCTGACGTTAAGCAGGCAGCACAATAACGGCCAATCGGACGACCTCAGAGTGGTACCCGCAGCGGGATCCATTGAGGTTGTAACAGTTGCGCATTGTCGTATCCGTCGTGCTGGTCGTGCTGCGTATCCGAAGCCCCACGTATTCGTACTTTGCACCGCAATTTTGCACAAATCTCGAGGCTTACCAACGGCAAAGTGCCGACTGGGCATTTAGCAGTCATGTAGACTCGTACAGCTCTACTTATGATGAAACACAGATGACGCGGTACGCAGCTCACGGCACTTGGACGGTAAGCATGTTATATAAACAGCTATTGGACGTGTTGCCGTCTAGCGATGCAGCATCAAGCCACACTCCACGACACGCGAGTTCAACATGAAGTTCGCAACTGCTTTTACCATCTCGCAGGTCCCGTTGGCATTTGGTCACTTTGATCGTCTTTCTCAATGGAAACCAGCTGGGCCGAACGATCGTAAGGCATTCCTCCCACAGTCAAGTTTCTCATGCACGAGATCTCATGGTCTGACCTCTCCAACAGTTCGTGGACCATGCCCGATGATGAACACTTTGGCCAACCATGGCCTTCTCCCGCACGACGGCAGAAACCTCACTCGAGAGGTCGTCCACGCGGCATTGTCTGAAGGACTCAACTTCGAGGCCAAACTGACAGACATCATGTTCGATCAAGCACTGCCTGCCAACCCGCAGCCAAACGCTACATGGTTCGATCTGTATGTCAAGATATACTGACACTTGCTTTGGAACGATACTAATGATTGTGGCGTACCAGTGGCCAACTTAATCAACACAACGTCTTGGAGCACGATGCTAGCCTGAGGTGAGTCCCATCATTCCCGTTGTAGGTAGAACATCGCATACTGACGGTACGACCTGACAGTCGCAAAGATGCGTACTTCGGCAACAACCACATCTTCGACCAAGACGTGTTCGACTTCACGAAGAAGTTCTGGACTGCTCCCGTCATCGACCGCTACATGTTGGCCAACAGCAAGATTGCACGACAAGTGCAGTCAAGATCGACCAACCCTACGTACAAATTCACGGCTTCGGTTGAGAATTTCAGCATTGGCGAGCTGCTCGCTCCCGTGATTGCGTTTGGCGATCGTGTCAACGTGACAGTTGATCGGGATCTCGTGGTGTATTTCTTTGGTACGTTTGAGATAAGGATGACTGTGTTTTGTCGATGCTGACATGATCAATCTTGCAGAGAACGAAAGACTTCCAACGGAACTGGGATGGAAGAGGCAGTCCGAAAGTGTTGGACTGAAAGATATCATTCGCTTGTCAGGGATCTTCTCGAACGCGACGACACTGCTGACGGATTAGCTTGTTCTTGCATGACCTTCTAGCACATGCATACAGCTGTTTGAGTTGCTGGAGCTCTGAACGGCGTAGTGGAGGGAAAAAGAAGACTGGGACCATATATTTATGTACGCTGCATAGATACTGTACAACGTTCGTTGAACATAAGATTGCACTGCGTATTCTCGCAAACACTCCGTCGCATCCGTTGTGCAAGTAGTACAGTCTTGCGCAAGGCATCGTTGCGTTCATCTTGATACTGCTGCAAATGGTTGGTAATTCGAGCTGCGAAGTTGTGATGTAAGATGCTCGCAACATGGCCCAGACTCTGATTGCAAGCAGCTTGACGCAACCTGGTAATCACATTGCCCTGCAAAGCTTCCTTGGCTTGTCATTTGCTTACAAGGCGTATTCAAGCACGACAGGCCGACGCCAAGCAAGTGACTCGTGCAAAAGCCAATCGCGTTGACGGAAGGTATCGCGTATTCGAGGAATACGCTGCTGAATACGAATACGCTCTTGGAGACGTTGAGATTTGTGGCGTACCTGGCCCCGTAGAAATATGGCTGCCTGGTTCTTCAGAAGATGTTGCTCAGGCAAACTCGTGCTGCGGACCACTCTCCAAGTGGACGTATCCGTATGCGCCTCGATCTAGGCTGTGACAATGTCGCTTCCGCCTGCAACGCCAAGACGTCGGTGACGACAGCCACCACGATACGACATCACCATTCACTCTTCTTGCCGTTTTGGGACTGCAGGGACGTCGGCGACGAGACTACATAAAGCAGAGCGAGACCTGAGAAGTTTTGCAGCCAAACCTCAACACACCTGCATCGAACCTCCATCACATCCAACCGCAAGACACCATGGCGATCGCCGACACCTTCACCGAGCGGTTCAAGACCAGAGTGCACATCATTCAAATCGTCCTCATCGTCATCATTCTT